AGTCAGAACAGAAGGACCAAAACGTGTGTAAACAAAGTTCAACGTCACTCATATTTAGCCCTGGAAAATCCTATTTAGTGTGACGATACATCAAAATGCATGCCATTGAAGGATCTGGGAATGTCCCGGCGTTTTTGACAAAGCTCTGGAGACTTGTAGATGACGTGAAAACCAACGATTTGATATGTTGGACACAGGTGAGCAAATGTGACTTACTTCATTGCAATTAACGAGGTACTTTGAGCGGCTTTCAAGTCAGTCAGCTCAGTAGAAATGTTATTGTTGATGATCAGTGTTTGTAAATGGTATACACTCTTAGTGTTAGTAGTGAGAAAAGTGGTAGTAGGTAGATTTTACGATACCAAACGGGTTTTGGACTGACAAATTGTGATGAAGCTGTCTAACTTTGTTTTTCATTAATAATATTAATGCAATAAAGTCAAGAAAATGGAGAATTAGTAACCAAATTTAGTTTAATAATTATCTATGCTACACTATGAATGTAATAGACACAACCTTTCGATTGTAACGTTTCATTGCTTGGATTGTGGAAAGTCTAGTTATTGATACTTATAATTTTGTTTACAGTTCTGTTGCAGTTTGAAATATTTCTGATAATTGCATTTGATAACAAAGTAAAAGCATTTCCTCATTTTTAAGATAGCTAAGAGAAAATATAAAGCTCCAGGTATCATATTTGCATGATATTTTTGCAAGGAGAGATTGTAGTTTAACAAATGATCTAAATATATTTTAATAGAAAATTTCATACAGAAAACTCATGAGAAACAGGTTTTTGTTTCACACCTTTAGGGAAGAAAAATGAGTTGCTGGGTGATTTAGAAAATATGGGCAAATTTGAACATTTTTGATAAATGTCTGGAACATACATCTGTCATTAGGGAAACAAAACTCTACCATGTTGCAAGATGGAATCTTTAAATTTCCATGGAAAATTGATATCAAAATAAGAATCAAGCTAAGCTCCTATCTTTGTTGGCAATATTTTGTTGACATTGTTGTTTTTGTAATGAATACATGTGATTATTTGGCAATGTTGTATTGAATTTTACCCTTAGACATTGTTCAGAGTAGGATTATGATGAAGCAGTGCTTTGGTCTTTGTACTTTGTGTAATGGTTGACAAATTTTTCCCATAAATATATTTTGCAAGATCTGCCTGGGTACTTTATTGAGTTTTAAGTTGCGAAGGAAGCAGATGGGTAATATCCTGCCAGACTATATATGGCAGAAGTGTTTACTGCTTTGCCGGGTTATGAAATGAATACAGTTGGATTTGATAGGTGATTTAGCCATTACCCTTACTCTCTTTTTTATAGTAGATGATATTCATTTATGTGTTTATGGTCACTCTTGCACAGTTTTGTAGTGAGACTTATCTAATAATGATCACGTTACAGGTTGAAGTAATAGGGACTTCATCTCGATAGTACCAATACTTTAATTTTTATCATTTATGATGGAAAATAACAAGAGATTCATGGATAGTACAGTGTTGATGATTTAAAGAAGGAATGATAATTGTAAGATTTGATGTCTAAGTGAACTTATGAAAATTAACAAGATCACATCAAATTTCAGATAGATTTGTATAGAATATTGGAAAAGTTGGTGTTAGTAGGGAATTTGGTAATTCTTTCTAACATGACCGCACCCATTGGAGACTAAGTCCCTAACTCTAGTCAACATTCTTGGAGGATCCCATGGGGAATTGGGGTTTTAGGGTGTAGTATGGTCAATTTCGCTCTTAGCTAGGATTTTAAAAGGTAAAGAAAGAGTAAAAATAAAAAATCCAAGCCAAGATTTGACACCGCATTGCGAACGAACCCGGCCTAAAGGTCAATTGGGGT